CCCCACAATCCTCCTCCTCCTCCTCCTCTACCTCTCTAGCATTGATGATATTACCTAGTTGGGTAATGAAATGTCTATCTATCCAGAATGGTATAGGTCTTCTGCTTGAGCAGGGGGTTGGACTAGAAGACCTCCAAGGTCCCTTTCAACTCTGTTATTCTATGTTCTACAATTGATTGAAAGTAGATTAGTGGTTGCACCAGGTAGTGGGGATAACCTCCACCCATGGGCCTCAGAGTGGGGAGGACAGGATTTCAGGACTCTGCTTGGGCCTTGCTAGGTTGTTTTGCCTGTTTCTCCTTCTTATCCTTTTTGGGCATTTCTTTTTGGTGCAAGCAGGTTGAGGAGTGTGATTAACGTGTCAGATGTAAGGAGCAAGTAGAAATACAGTCAGAAACACACCCTTCTACTCCTTTGGGACTTTTTGTACCAAATGGGGGGGGGGAATGAAATTGTGATATATGGGTGTGGTGAATAGAAAAATAGTAGATGATAGAAAAAAGGAACAGTATGTTGTGACCGTAGAGGAACAATTTATTTTAAATTGATACCTTGTAAAAGAAAGTCTGAAGTTATTTCGTTATATTTCTTTTTTTCTCTTGTACTTTTAGTTTCCTTCCTTCCTTCCTTCCTTCCTTCCTTCCTTCCTCCCTCCCTCCCTCCCTCTTTCTTTCTTTCTTTCTTTCTTTCTTTCTTTCTTTCTTTCTTTCTTTCTTTCTTTCTTTCTTCTTTCTCTCCTTCTTTCCTTTTCTTCCTCCTGCTCTCCTGTTTTCCTTCCCTTCTTTTTCCTCCCCTCCCCTTCCTTCCTTCCTTCCTTCCTTCCTTCCTTCCTTCCTTCCTTCCTTCCTTCCTTCCTTCCTTCCTTCCTTCCTTCCTTCCTTCCTTCCTTCCACCTTAAATATTGACCTTTCTTGTGTAAAAAGCTAATAAAGCTTGCACAAACAAACACCACACCCTTCTCTCTCCTATGTAAAAAATTAATCTCTGCCTTCTCCTTCTTGAGAAATCAGGTGTGTCAAGAATGAGGGGTGGGGGGGTGAGCAGTTGTGACAAGTCTAGAGAGAATTCAGGAAATAAAATAAAACTCAAAGCCAAGGGCAGAGGCAAAGGCCAAAGTCTCCTGGAGCAAGAATGGCTGGGGAACTACAGTGGGGCGGGGGAGGAAAAGTACCTCCCAACACTCCAGAATCCCCCTCCTCCTGCCCCTCCCCCCCACAAGGGCCCACCTGAAGGTAAACACATTCCACCTATCTGCAGGACACAACTGAGCAGCCCCATCAAAGTCACATCTTGAGCTCACAAAATCTCCAGAATTGCATTCTGACCTGTCACGGAGTCCCTTCGATCTCCACCTGTTAATCTCGATTACAGGAGGTCCTTGACTTACAACAAGTTCATTTAGTGATGGTTTGAAGTTACAACAGTTGTTAAGTTAGTAACACGGCTGTTAAGTGAATCTGGCTCCCCATTGGCTTTGCATGTCAGAAAGTCACAAAAGATGACCTCAGGACACTGGAATCGTCATAAATGTGAGTTAGTTGCCAAGCGGCCAAATTTTGATCACGTGATCACAGGGATGCTACAAAGGTCGTAAGTCTGAAAAATGGTCATAAGCAGTGATGGCCAGTTTGCACCACTTTGGCAGAACCGGTAGCTAATTTTTTGTTGCCCAGGCCCAGAACGGACTTCCAAAAGCGGCATCCACACAGAGAACCAGTTGTTCACCTATTTGAATCCCACTACTGGTCATAAGTCACATTTTTCAGTGCCGTTGTAACCTCGAACAGGTCACTAAACAAAGGTTGTAAGTCCAGGACGACCTGTGTACATGAACACTAGATTATAACCTATATTTTGTAACCCAGAATGGCTATATTCACACAACGCAGGACCAACCTCGCACGTTGTGATGTAACGGAATGAGGGACTAGACTACTGTCTCTGTTGTTCTCTGAGAGACGCCAGAAACGTTGTGCCTGTCCAGGCAAGTCAACTCAATTATTCCTGGCCCCACAGTGACCCAACCCTTTGTGCTTGTTGCTTTTAGTAGCATTGCTCTAAACAATACAGTGAACCTGCCACAAACGCTTGACTGGGTTGCCAGTTCTGAGTTTTTCACCTGACACATCTTTCCCGGCATTCAAGCGGTCCCTGGGACAACAATCCTCTTGTCCAGGAAAATGAAGCATTTCTGCACATCCAAGAAGCTTCCTCAGCTCTGATTGGATGGTGGGGAATGGAAGGATTTATACTCCTTGCAGACAGCCGGTCATTTGCCTTCTTTTAGAGAGTCATTGAGGCCACTTGGAGGTTTGTCTGTGTCCTCAAAGTCACCTGAGTAGTGCAAATGAGTGTGGATACGACATCATCTATCTCCAGTCTACAACACTGATAAAGAATGTAGCACGGGTAGACTATTTTATTGGGTTCCTTTTAAAAAAAAATTCATTCAGAATTTGCCATCTTGCTTAGATATGACTACGTATTATCCTGTTTATAA